GACTTGCAGAAATGCTTTAATTTCTGCTTTCTATTTCAAGAGTTATAGCAAATCATTCAGTTTTTTGATGTTTGATGGAGCTTTAATGGAGTGAATAAAGTTAGCAGTTGATCAATTTTCTGGAACATTGGTTAATAAGAAATTTATACTATTATTCAATATCAAAGATTTATTTATTGCAGCAAAGATGTCGCATGCGCTTTGTTAGAATCTTTTTTTATTGTAATTTTTTAAATATTGCTTAATCAGATCAGCAATAATTTATGCAATAATGTTTCAAATAACGTATATATTTGTAATGGGAGCTTTAGAAATATAAATAATCCTAAGATCAAATAGTGTGCTGAAACTTGTAATTGCTCATTTGTGTACGAATCACCATCCCCTTTAAATTATACATTGAATTTGAAAAGGATTTTAATACTTTTGATCCAGACAAAAATAGTTATTTATTTAGTAGTCAGGAAATTCGTAGTCCTCCAACATCGAAACGTCATTAATACATTAAGTAAAAAATAAAAACCTCTTTAATTAAACCAAGTATCATAAATCGTAATCAAATACAATTTCAAACAATTTGTCCTACTTCCTAGTTACCAATTAGTAATTCGATTCCCATATTAATCTAACTTGGTAACAATATTCTAAAGCTTAGAATTTGAATTAGTTAAATCAAATCAATAATACAAAATCTAAAAAAAAGCACAAATCTAAAAAAAAACACTCGCCTTAATATTACCGGATCAAACCAATATCATTAATATTCTAAAGCTTAGAATTCGAATTAATTAAATCAATAGCACAAAATCTAAAAAAAACTCATCTTAATTTTATCGGATCAAATCAATATCGAAGAGATCATCTAGCCTGATCTCTTTGATTACGTAATTTTGATGGTTAGATCTTTTAATTCAGAAAAAAGTGATAGATTAGAAATTGATATCATAAAGTAATCAATTGACAAATTGTAAAATTTGTTTAATTTGATTATTTAATGCTTTTAGCAAGAAAAAGAAACCAAAGAAATCCATGCATAATTATAACCACTTACCCGAAACTCAAATTATTCCCATCCGTTTAATTACTCCACATAACACTAACTTATTAAATAAATGTCATAAGTAAATAAGTTAACTGAAATTTATATTAAAAACTAGATTAATTCTTACATTTCTTTCGAACAGTCTTAGAGCATTATTCTTCGCTTACTCATGACATAATCTTTTCGATCTCTTTTGCTCTCTTATTATGTTTGGTTGTAACCCCCAGTTGAGTTGATCACGTAATACAAGACGTGTTGTATTCTACGCATAGTAATTAAGAATCGCAATTGCAAAAATCTAAATAAAAATTTTAATTGCGAATTTTAGTAACGACAATAAATCCCAATTACACACATTCATCCAACAAGATTTCAACCATAGCATTCTGTACTAAATGCAAAAGCAATCGCCCTGAAGGTTAATTTATCTGGAACGATGTCCGTCACAAGACATGTAAGAGGTGCAAAGAGAATCGTAGCCGAAAGAATAAAGATAATCAAAATGAGAAAATGCCAACTATAATCGATCATGAACTAAGCCAACATAAAAATATAGAATTTTCTTCTGATCTTTCGGATAAGTCTCTCAATGCGTATACATTATTGCAAGGCACAGAGGAAGTACTCGATGAATTCGAGGAAGAAGAGTATGGCGTAAAAAATGATATTCATAATATAGTTGAAGAACATTCGGAGGTAGAACATATCAGTGATATCACACACACTGAGATCGACTATCTTGACTTGGGGAACTTCATTGAACATGAAATCCAAGAACTAACGGCTGGCGCTCACATTGATGGAGTAGCAAATATAATTTATCAGACTCACTTGCTGGTGTGTTTAGATGTCACTATGGTTCAAAGTAAGACAGCGAAGGATATTGCTGAACTTGTAATCACAGAAATTGAAAGCGGAGATGATTACTCATGGAAGTAAGTATCAACTCAATATAAAATACATTATCAGTATTATATTATTTATTAACTAGATGAAAAACATTATTATAGCTTTAAAAAAGCTGACCTATCAAGAAAATTTGGAAGCACAGTTGGTCGGTTCTCTTACGTGTGCTGTCAATTGAAAGAAGCACAGAGGGAACAGTACAAAGATTCCAATCACAAGAGACGAATGCGTTACGATTGCAAAGGTAAGATTATAATACGAGTTGATACAATCCTTAACGTTACAACCGTAGACATCTATCACGGATCCCTCCATCCCCGTCCAAATCTCTGCATTGAGACACCTGAAGAACTGCGACAAGAAATCAAAATAAACTCGCACCTTACCATTGTAGACTTGAAAAACCATCTGCGAAATAAAGGGTTTGATATCTCAAAGTATTCACCCAAACGCATTTATTATTGGAAGTCCATGGCAGTTCAGAAATTATTTCAACGTAATAATAATCATGTTGAATTCACGTGCAAACTGCTTAGTGAGCATGAAATTCATGGCTTTCACTGGTGTCTAAATATAAAAGATTCAGAAGCTACAGCCATCGGTTTCACCACTCCACTACTAAAAGAGATTAAAAATCGTAACATTAGCATTACTGAAATCTATCTCAATGCAACTTATAAGACTGCAAGAGGACGCTATGAACTTTATGGTATTATAGCAGATATTGAAGGTACTGATTTCCCAATCGCCTACCTCATACTTGATACAACCAAGGCAACAAATACGAATACTAGCACGGGAAGACATCACAAAGTTTTAGAAAGCTTCTTAAAAAGCATAAAGGCGCACAATATTAACCCAGATTTCGTGTTCACAGACAAAGATTTCGCGGAAATTAATGCTGTGGCCAAGATGTGGGGTCCTTCGGTAATTCAGCTATGCACTTAGCACATGAATCGGGCTCTTAAACTTAAACTCAAAGAGAAAGCCAAGCTGTCAGATAATGCAGACAATGCAAAATACAAGTTATTATATACTGTAATCTATAATGTCAGTCAGGCAACTAACGAGTTTAACTTTATCGATCCAACTTTCTACCCGACAGAGGAAGATCGCAATCCAAAAACATATACTATCTGTTCGCCAGAACATCGAGGGTTGATTTTGAAGATGATGCAAAAACATTTCAATATGCATCCTTTGATACCTGTTGATGCTCAGGGAAATACCATGACACCAACAAATATTAGAGAAAATGCCATAAAAGAGATTTATCAATTTTGCGTTGAAAATTCACTAAGATTATTATGGACTTATCTATGGACCAACTGGTATTCACCAGAGCGATGGCACCTGTGGACGCGATCAGTTAAATCTACTATACCTTTTGGTAAAATGACGATGATGATTGAAGCCCACTGGAGTGTCATTAAACGAAATTACTTGCACCGATTTAATCGTCCTAGACTTGACCTGTTGCTTTGGACACTTTTTAATGAGGTAATACCAGCACAAAAAGAGTGGCTTTTGCAGATTCTGACTGGCATAGTGACACCATGGTGGTGGGATGATTTCAAGAAAGTATGGCTCGCTGCAGATTCAAGTAATGACCAACAAGAAAAGATATGTGTTGATGAGCATGTCAAGGGCAAAAGAAAGCGAAACATCAGTGTGAAAATGACTAATATAAGCAATTCATATTTCACCGATGTTTCTCGTTGGATTTGCAGCTGCTCTGCCTTTCTTGGAAGTCGCTTTTTGTTATGCAAGCATTTAGTTCGGCAGGTTTTTATTATGTCAAATGGTGAACGACGACGATTATTGAAAAATGATTTTGAACGTCATACCACTCCACCTTTTCTTGTTCTGAAAAATATTCAAAGTAACGAAATTAGTGACTTCGTGACTGATGATTCTGTTGGTATTGAAGCCACTATCAACAACATACCAAATAATGTTAATATTAATGAAAACCCCGAAGAAGAAGACCATGCTTATGTCGAATTAAATTGGTTGTTGTTTTTGTTGTTTGAGCAGGCAATCAAGCGAATTCATACTGAAAAATCAGCTAATAATTGGCATCAAGTTCGTGCGATAATGGAAGGTAGCCGATTGGTATCAATAGAGAAAGAAATACAAACTGTAGAACGACAAAGACACCGACAGATGACTTGGACAACAGCAACTAGAAAACCATATCTTATGTACCTGTCATCCTCAGATGAGTTAAGTCATAAATCAGTAGAGAGCATGTCAACCGAAGATATTGAAGAATAACCGAGTATGTAATGAGATTAATAGAAAACTAGACAGAAATATAACAT